AAATATTCATGTATGTGTTAAAATGATAATAATAATAAGTTCCAATAATATTAAACCATGGAAAATTCCCAACTCTAAATATAATGACTCGCAAAAAACATCCACCCAGAATCATTTAAAATGTATATTTAAAACTTATTTTATAAAAGAAATTAAAAAAATAATTGTATAATATAATATAGGCTTTGTTAATGACAGTATCACCTTAGAAAATGTCACCATATTTATAAATATATTTTATTATTTTCACTTTTGTAAAAGGGAGGATGAGAAGTTCATATACTTTGGGAAAATTTACATTATCTACTGCAGTCGCCAGGCGCATAAACTACAAAATACATTTACAAATTAACAAACGTTGGTACAAGTTATTAAAACATTTTTGATTTTAAGATGATCAGTATTTTTGATAGGTACTCAAAGCTATGACGGTTGAAACACAATGTTGTCCCATACTATTACTTAAATAGATTTTATCAATTAAGTTTATAACATTTTTTTTTTCTGCTAATTATGTATAATATTAACTGTGTCATAATCATAAATGTTAAACGTCACCCTGAATACATTTATATACAGTTTGGATAAGATGAATTATCATGATAATATCCCTTCTATTCACTATAGGTTCTGTCATTGGTTTTCTGTCGATTTTTGTTTTTCCGTAAAATGCATATATTCCCTATACCTATCTACTCGCTAGGATCGTAATTCACCTCTATACACACTCGTGTTGTGTTTGACTACAAGTTGCTATTACATCGACAATATTATGTAATATCCAGTCCAGATGATATCGTGGGTGAGCAAAGGGGGGCCATTTCGATTGTAAACGTAGCTATATAAGAGAAAGGGAGATTTACAATATTGCGATATGTTTTTACTACTTAAATTTAGGGTATATTTTTTATGATGCACGCCGTTCCAAAAAATAAAGAGAAGCACACGAGGGTGTTGTTGGCGAGTAGGTAAGGGAAAAAATAAGAAAAAACAACGTATATGAATAAATGATTGGCCGAAAGATGTATCAGATTTTTCAAAGAACAGAAACTGAATGTTCTCGGATGGGCATTAAATAATTGACGAACTTGTAAAATATGCGGACCGACCCCGTATTTTTTGTTGCGAGAAGATATGTACAAAATGTTTTATCGAAAGGAGTTTTCATTTAAATTAAAAACTCGTTCACTTTTATTAAGATCCTACATAGCAGACCGAAGAATCCGTTTCATCTTCGAATTTTAAAGGGGAAGCCTTCATGCTTCCTATTCCAATACAGATATATTAAAGGCGGATACCGGATACAAATTAATCAAAATTGGTTTTCAATGAAAAAAATTCCAAATTATTTTTCGAATTCATAAAATAGTTATTTCACTGTATAATATATACCTATGTACATATTACACCAAACTAAAAAAGTATTTAAATTGGAATTAATTTGGTCCATGTCAAGTGTACAGATAGTTATTAATTTCTTATTATAACAGTGAATACATCATAACTGGTTTAAGGTGTTACTATAATAATTTAAGGTTAGGCTAACAATTATTATAATCAATAATTTGATGTATAAGCATCATAGTATACGTATTCTATAATTGCACAATAGTTAAAGAAAAATTAAAACTATTATTTAGCACTGTTATAATATTAATTCATTGGAAAACTATTTAATTTTGCACCTTTTTGTAGTTTTAAAATATTCAGTGTATTTAAATTGAGTGACTAAAATTTTCAAAAAGGCCAATGAAATTAAATAACTGTTTTAACAATGGCTTAAAGTCACTGGGAAGTAATAATCAAATTTTTCCATCCTTAAATAAAATAAATAACTTCAGTCGCACTGTATATACGCTATTAAATATATATATTATAATATACAATATTTTATATATATATATACATTTACACTCCATACAGTATATCCTATATTAAAATTATGTCACCCTTTAAAATGGACCGCGTGTTTCCCTTTACGCAAGAAAAAATCTAATAAAAAATATGTGAAAGCGTTCAGGAAATGAGTTCTGAGCTGGTTCATATTTATTATTGACAGCAAGAACAAAAAAAAAAACGCTCTTGTTCTGAACTCCGGGAAACGCATTTATAACAAAAGGGTACGTAAAAACACTCTTAGCAATGGCACTCCTTAACGGGAAAAAATTCATTTTCACATTTTTTCCCGTTTTGTTCTGTTTCCTCCGTTGTTGTTTTATCGTTTTTTGTGTATATACCCTTCACGCTGAGGGTGAAAATTAATGGAGGTTATTTCCTACGCGAAATCATTCGGCACCGTTTACCAATTCGATCTAATGAAGTAGCTGGAATCTGATGGTTTTTTTTTGTTTCTTTTTTGATATATATTATAATAGCGCTTTGTTCATTATCTTTTGGATTTCCTATAGTTCAACGTTTTTTTTTTCAGGAAGAATCTGTAGCCTAACTAAAAAGCAATTTCTTTAAGATAGAAATTGAAATCTATATTATTATAATAATGACAAAAATGTGTGGAAAAAAATGATAAACTTTTCTACTTATATAATGGTCTCAGACTTTTAGGTTGTATGCCTACGGCACCTTATGTTCCCCTTGAATTGTATACTTTTTAAGACCAACAACGTTTTATGCATTTTTTTTATTGGCTCCAATATAAATGCCTTAAGTGCTGAACCATAAAAATAATGAGCGTCTTTTGCTTTTAATTAAACCGCGCCCAGTCGCTAAAAACCACCTTTTCTACTCAGTATACTGTATAATATGGGGTTCGTTGATTAAATTTTTTTTCATTATCGACTCGGTTTGTATGCAAAAAATCGATAAAAATGTTTCTTGGGAAACGCCATTGCTTCGTACCAGAAGTTGTGCACAAAAAGTATATTGTAATCATCGCGAAGTACTGAATGAAAAATGCTAATATAGCTATGGCGTTAATGTTTGTCTTAATAAATGTGCTTACACACAAATACGGTATATGGTCGACCTTGAACACAACACTTCAGGAACGCTTCATCAAAACCTACACATAATGTGTTTTTTTCTACACATAGGTATGTTGTATATATATACGTATGTAAAATATGTTTACTGCCCAACCACATTGTGGGATGATGACCCTTTGCTTGGTCATATATACAAAATATATATATAGGTACCTTTTTTTCAAGTGGTTGTCCCGATTCTCAACGACTCCCCGCCGTGACTTCTAGAATTTACATAGTGTAATCGTTCCGGGACCCCGGGTACTATCATCGATTTAACTGACCATATTATTTCACCATACAACCTAACGATTGTAATAATTTAACGCAGAATCGGTCATTATTGGACTACATAATACTATAATAAAGACTCTCTCAATGCGATGCAATGTGGTCGATACCTACTATATTAATGTATGTGGAATGGGGAATATAAATATTATTTTTAAAACTGTCAAACGTGTTAATGGTCTTTTTTGAAGAGTGCGGGTGTTGTATTGATCTTTGCGACTTATATTTAATAGACTCATTTATTATAATTGAACCCTTAAATAGTTAAATGTAATATAATACAATTTATACTATGATAGTATTATTTAAATATAAATTATAATATAATATATTATATTTTCTTTGGATCAAAAAAAAATATTTGAGGTGTATCTGACGTATAGCAATTATATAAACGTCCTTTAAATAACTGGTATTTAATAATATAATATTATGTATTATTATTTTATACATATTTTTAATGACTTATTTTATATACTGTTTCTCTTTGAGATTGCATCTTATTACAATCGATTATGTTTCCTTTTAATTATAAACCACTGGTGGAACGGGAGAAAGAATATGATTAATACTTATATATATATAAATAACTGATATTCGTTTTTGGCTCCGGGGGCGAAAAGATAAATGGAAAAGACGCGTAAAAGAGTGCAGAAAAAAAAATAATAATAAACGAAATCACATGATTAAAAACCGTTTCATAAAGTGGCAAAAGAAGGGCGCGCATTGTGTGTGCCAAGTGCGGATGATGTAGGAAAAATTGTTTGCGCCGGGTGCTGCGTCAGGTGGTGGGTGTGCAGGGAACGGATGGAGATGGCTGGGGAAGTAATTTAAGCTGCTGAAAGAAAATGACACGCAAGGGGGTGAGGTCGCGTGAAAAAAATAGAATGGAAAATTCAGTGAGAGAGTGAGAGATAAAGATGGTGGGGGGAGGCAAGAGAGAATGAGAAAATGAGAGACAAAAGTAACGGAGAAAAAGATTCAGTTTGTCGAGAAGCTAAAAATGAATCGGTATAAAGGGTGGAAAATAAACTGCGTATACCCAACATGATAACAGTGGCTGGCCCCTTGTTATAATCGGACCTTAACGACTTCGGTTCCCTCCTTAAAATAATAATAATAATAATAATAAAAAAAAGTGTGTATAACAAATCTTTTGACGTTGTTTTCCAGTGTTGTTGCTTTTTTTTATTTCCTTCCTTTTATTTAGCTATCGTTGCTTATAATATTATTTGCATGCGTGCCGCATTATTGTATTCAAACCCATAATATATGATTTTCTTTACCTTATATTGTTACTTGTTTGTAAAATTTGTATGATAAAATGTATAATTAAATTGCTATATTAAAATGACTTGACAAGACATAAGAATAGGTATTTAATAAAAATAACGATACCTATTTGATTTATTCAAAACAATTATTTTGTATTTTTATTTTTCTATACTATTTATGTACATATTAACACATTCAATAATTATCAATGATTGAAGCAATATCCAAAATTAAATTATAGTACAAAATTATATTGTAATTATTCATCATTTATATATTGGCTTCAGAAAAATGAGTAACAATACTAATTAATATATGGTTCATTAAAATGTTCTTACGTCACCACAATCAAAACTATATATTTCCAGTATAAACAATTCATTAATTTGTATTGATAACAAGTTTGTCCTGAAATGGCCGAGTTTTGTATATTTCACTAGTAAAGAAGTGGAAGAAGTTGATAATAGTTTATTATATAACATTAATATGTGGTTGGTTTCAACATTAAATAAGACGATTGCTTTTGTTAAAAAAATTGTGTACAAACTTCATTAAATAGAAGGTGAAACATATTATGTTTTAACAACAGTCGCTTTCAAAAATAATAACAATCACAAGTTTTAACATGGAATATTATGTAACGTATAATAAATTAAAATATAAACGAGTGTTAACATTTAATAAAAGTAGTGTTCAAACACAAATCAAGGAATTTGAATTATTTTACATATCAGAATAGTTAACGAGTTCTTACTCGTCGCATATTGTTGTGTTCATGAAACATGTATTTATAGAATCTGATGTATTAATATAATATAACAATACAAATCCCATAAAAAAAACATTGTAACTGTCACTCACAATAATGGCACAATCAGAATGTAATAATTCAAATTTGTAAATACATCCTTGGACAGGTAACTTTTTAATACTAACTGTTTATGTACAATTATAAAAATAAATATGTATATCATCATACGGCCCGGGGTAACAGCTCGGTAGAAGTTTGCTCGTTTTTGGGTACGAAAAATTCCTCAATTTCCATAAAAGTTTTGTTCTCGGTCTCCGGCATATTTCTGTAGAGGTAAACGAACCCAACAAAACTGAAAGCTGCCATCATGAAGAAGGTATTGTTTAAGCCCAAAGTGTTTTCGACGCTTAAATACACTTTAGTCGCCGAAAATGTTAGGATGTAAAAAATTGCAGTGGTCAGACTAGATGCGAATCCTTTGGCTCTACACAAAAATTCATGTTAGTGTACAATATCACGTTACTATGGGGTAAAAAAAATGGAAATAGTATGTATAGGTGTATGTATATTACTCGTTAGGATATATCTCGCTGACCAACGTCCAAGGAACTGTCAACATGCCCATAGCTCCAGAGAACATGATGATCGAATAGAGCACCATTGGCACGTAGGCGTCGGGGCTAATCAATTTATAATTATTGATACACACGAAGTATACAGCAAACATGAATATTGCCAGCGTGTTTATGCACAACGTCGATAAAGTCAACATTCGTTTTCCCAATTTCCGCACCGTTAAAGTGAGTCCCACGCTCCCGGCCAATTGCATAAATCCAAAAAGTACCTTGAATAATATTATGAGGTAAAAAATATAGTATTATATTAAAACTATAATTTTTTTTTTTATTTTGTTTTTATAAAAAAAAAACTATTTAATAAATGTACGTTACGAGTTCGCTAAACAATACATTCAAAATGTATTTAATTGATACTCAATTTTTTACCAAACTCCACTTTAAAAGTTTATTTGAAATACCAAAAAGTGGTATTTAAATGTATGTAAATATGTATATATATTTTTTGATATTTATATTGTTACCTATTTAAAAATGCATCCATGCATCATTTTTTAGGCATGCGTAAAATTATAAATAATAAACAGTAATAATTCTATAGAATAATATTTTGTCATTTTTAACATTTAAATTAACGCATTTACACGATAATTTTAATATTGAATTTGAAATCACTATTCAATGCACAATAATATTAATAAAAATAACAAATTAAATGCATAACCCGACAATAAAAATATGTTAGCTATATAAATAGTTATAACAATTATTTAATACTTGACACTAAAAGTGTTCAACAAAACATTTTATACCAATAAAGTGTTTAAAAAGTTTACAATACTGAAGTTAGCCATTTAAATATATACTCACTAAAGATATGCTGTGGGTATCTTTCACTCCCGATTCGTACATTAATTTGACAATATAAGGTCGGCAGGGCGTCAAACACGAAATCAACGTGAATATATAGTAAATGGTGGCCAATCTCAGGGGTCTATACACAGAAGGGCTCTTGATCCACGACAACGAAGAAAACAGTCCTTTCGAATCTCTTATCGTTTTTGATTGGTCGACAGACGTCTTGTAATAAAACATCAATTCTTGGTACTCGGTGGCGACGACGCAAGGGTCTACCCATCCTCTCAGCCAACATATTGCGTCCATGGCCTTCTCGTTTCTGCCTTTGGACAGCAACCAAATCGGGCTCTCCGGTATCTATGCACGAGAATATGGAATGAATAATCGACGAAATTGACAGAAAAAGCAACAAAAACTCACAAATGCCACGAATGTCAGACACATGACCGGACATAGGGCGCTCATCGCGGCCACAGTTTTCCAGTGGAAAACATAACTCAGCCCGAAGCTGGACAAGACGCCGATCAGACATGCCATGTTTATCACACATGCCATGATTCCCCGGAGTCTGGGTTCACAAATCTCTCCAATATACGAGTACGCCGGGCCGTCGTTAAAGCCCAAGCCCAAACCCATCGTTAGGGTCGACCAGTACAACATGGTAACCGAGTTAGCGTACCACAACAGTATCCAGCCAAATATGCTGGGAACGCAAGCCAGAACCACGCAAGACTTCTTTCCGAAGTGTTTCTGCGCGTACCCGGACATGCAACTCCCGATCGGTTGACACAAATAGAGTATACTCCCTGAAAACGTATATTATTACAATAATTTATCTTCTGTAATGTTATTGAGAGTAGCGAAGGGAATCGTTCTAAAATAATATGTGACATTGAAGCTTTGAAGAGAAGAAAAAATGTTGGTGAATTTATAGTTGCCGGTATGTAGCAAAAAATGTATTCATTGAATCTGATAAAAGCACTTTGTGTGTGTATAGTGTCTAGATATGTGGTATATGTATTTATGAAACAGGAATGCGGTGATTTTTGTCGATGATATAGTTTATCAACAAACGCAATAAAATGCAAAAAAAACATTGTGTCCATCATATTATTTTTAATACCGTATTTAAGTAGCAAAACAAAATCAATACCGATAAAATACTAATATAATGATTTATAGAATAAAATATAATTGTTTTCAAAATACGTTTTATATGCTGTAAAAGGTCAACACTCGACAAACGTTTGCTGTATTATGAGGAATAGTCAATTTTAACTAACACACTTTTTGTACACATAACTGTAACATGTTATTGTTCAATAAATAATACGAAATTATTACTACAGTGACACCTCTAAATAGGGAACAACTTCAAATAGTGGATGATTTTTGTTTTTGAACAAACTAAACCCTCTGAATAGCAGTCAACATTTCAGTGAGCGAGAGTGTCCGGTATTTAGAGGTTTAACTGTATTGAGTTAGATCGTGATGTGCTCTTACCGTACCAAGACGACTCCGAATCAGACAGCAAAAATTCGGCTTTTGGATTTTTGTAAAGTGAACCGATTACTACCGTAGCCATCGCCAACTCCATTCCTACGTTTACCAGTAATAAACTCTGAACAATCGTAGCCAGTAGCTGCAAAACAACTTATTATTATGAGCTTTGGATGAATTAAAAATGTCTATCCTTACCTGAGCGATGGTAGCCTTTCTGCCATACGTGACTTTTGTTTCTAAAACATAACGTACCTACTATGAATCCTATTCGATTATAAAGTAGTAAGAATAAATGTGTAGAATATTGTTTACATACCCAAGTCGTTTCCGCATCGTATGTCGGTAACTGCGTGGGGCAAGGGGTATTGTCCCATTCTAGTAAGGTCTCGACCTTCTCCTGACTTATAACACTAGTCGGGTTGGAATAAGTATGCTGTCAATGACTAAGACACAAATTCAAAATGTACAAATTATGATTGATTTTTGACTGAAAGTAGATATAGCCAGCTGGTATCAGGTTTAAGGGATCTGAACTATTGATATTAATTATTATATTATTAAGATTATTACTGTCATTTATAACACATCACGAATTGATTATTTATCATACAATTGTTGTTTATAACTATTATTAGTATTCATTGTTTTCAAAAGATAAATGTACAATTATAACATTATAATTTACTTCAACTATTGATTATTTATAAAAAGTTCTGTGGGTTTGTGGGTTGTGAGTAATATGGTTGATTCATCCATATTATAATGAAATCTAATCAACTGTTAAATATTAAAAATAACGAAATGTAATTGCATAAGCTCACAGAGAAAGTAAAAACACAATATATGCAGGAACATAATATACATTATTTATTTTATACTGTTTATAATGAATTATCACAGAAAGATTGCGCATTGGTAATGAGCAATAATTATAGTATCACAATGACTTTTATCATGTTATTCGTGGAAATATTATTTAAATGCAAAAGATAATGATTTAATATTAAATTGATATCATTTAAAGTTCGAAACAAGATTGTTCAAATATAATGATATCTTATTGATAGGCTCACCGGGAACAGTAATAATTGTGAATAATTAGCACTTTATACGAGTCACGGCGTACAAAGTTAAACAAAAAAACAGAAGTTGTATATTATTTAAAAATAAATATTATTTATGATAATATTAGATATCTAACTCTTTCCTCGATATTCAAGATCGATCTTGATATTGTAATGCAACATTATTATTCCATATTATGCTTGTAATATGGCAGAATTTAAATGACGGACACTTTAGAAAAAGTGGTTCAATAATAAATAATAATAGCATCTAGATAATTATAGCACTAGTCAAATATTGTTTGTTACAATTGCCCAATTACGGTTAAAATCGTCAAAACCCAAAAACACGTGTAATGCAAAACATTGATACGCCACTCAGGACCCGGATGTTGATGATTTAAATTTAGTTAGCATTTTTACATTTTTTTTATACATTTTTCAATAACTTGTACACAAAAAAAAATTTGGAATTATAAAATATAAAATACATAATATCCATAATTTATTTTATAGTCAGCTATATTCACCTAAACATTCAATATTTGAATAGTATGTCTTGGAATCAATGACAAAAGATTTATAAATTATTATTTGTTCTATTAGACAAAAGCAAACTTGAACTCCAACTTTGAATCAAGATGTTCAATAAATTTAGTGGTCAAACAATATTATTTAGTTTGACGTCTTTATTCTATAATTATTTAACAGTTAACATATTTAATATTTGGTAAATGAAAAACAAATTATTTATGAATAATTTCAATTTAAGTATTTTTTCAAATATTTATCCAAATCGAGAGGCTTTCATGGGCTTTTACTTTTATTTCTTATTTTATTAGATCAAAAACACATTAAAAAAAAAACATATTTATTATATATATATGGTATAATGTAATTCAATAATATTACTTATAAAATATTTATAACACCCTCAGGTTCCAACAAACGGTGGTGACAATTCAAATAGTTCGGAGTGGACAATACTCATTAATGAAAATGATAAAAATCGATTTTAAATTTCCATAATTTTTCAAGTACCTACCCACATATCTACCAGGCGATCTACCACATAGTCGCTATATTTTTTTCACACCAAACTTTGTGCAACGGTTTAGTAAAATATATTATATACTTTTATACGGTATTCTCGTTATCGCGTCCGTAATAATAATTATATATACCGAGAGCCGCATCGTCGTCGTCGGCGAAACGGTCCCGGAGCGACCGAGGCTCCGTCTCACTTAAAATAAATGAAAATCCCTCAACGCTCCTTATTAATTACACCGGCTATGTGCACGCCCTTTCGCCACTTCCGCAGTAATTTATGGCTTTCGAGTGGCGGTAAAAAACATTTTTTTTAAAATACCACCGCAGCGTCGAGATCCCGCTGCAGGTAGGCGCGTATTGTACCCATACTATACGTTTAAGAACGCAATAATATTACGTATGGCTTACACACGCGAACTGACGTGGCAAAAACCAACCCGCGCCCCCTACAGCCTCCGTCGTGGTGGAGGGGAGGTGGAGTTCAGAGAATTCGGCGGTTTTCAACCCGACCCCGGAACCGCCGAGACGGCGACAGTTTGAAAACAGTAATATTATAATTTATAATATATTATTATAATAACACTACGCAGGTAGCCGCTGCAGTTCAGCTACGACGATATATCATCGCGTATACGAGCATTACATTATTATAATATTACCTATGATGTATTATATTATATACCTACGTTCAACTCGGTCACGTAGCTGCCTACACAATTTTCTGAGCGTGTATTATAATAATATGTGTAACGCAAACGAATTGGTGTAATATGTAAATCGATTTCGACGAAAATATACACTGGAATACTACGACTGCAGTCTCGAAACGACCTGGTCGCGTAGAATACGAAATAGTCTATTTCAATTTTTTTCTACGTAAGGTTATGCTTAAAGGTATATGTAGTATATACTATGCGTACATTATTATGTATAGCATAAATACATATACTCATAGAGAAAAATTATTCATAAGTCAAAATGTCGTAAGTATGACACGAAGGGGCCCGTGCAAAAACACTATGAATCAATTTTCATAAAAAAGCTCGACTTTGATAATAGTTGATAAAGAAAAAAATTACGAGTATATCTTTGCAAGTATGAAACGCATCCAATAACCTGCAAACGTAGGAAATATAATGTACTTGGAAAGAACATCCAGACAACTCCGAAATGAATACAATTAATGAATAGTACGTTTTGGTCAAAATACAAGAAAGCTTCAAAAATTAAAATTATATCTTTTTTATTTCCTGAAAAGTTTTGAAAAAAACTTTAATTGTCTGGGTTTTGCACTGCCTTCTTTATATTATATTTAATGTATGTCTGTGTGCGTGTATGTGTGCGTAAAAAATGCAATTTAGTCCAAAAATAAAAGTAAAAATCTTACCGATGCATAGGACGAATAATATAACAATATTATGTTTCATATATTAGCTAGCTATTTGAATGAATAAATAAATCACATATAATGTACCTTTAAAGATGTTGGTCGGTGAATGCATAAACGCAGAGCCAGACTTGTTAGCACAAAATACTGCAGCAGTCGATTATCACGTGAACGAATTAATTATGATCTGATATCGACAATAATATTACATCTACTGTCAGGAAATGGAAAAAAACCGCTGTCGCATTACAACTAAATAAATAACAGTATACTGCGATTATCGCAAAACCACAAACTGAGACAATACGTTTTTGGTTTTTCTCGATGCATAGCGTATTACGGTCACAATAAAATGAATTTCACGCAGTATAATATGTCACGCCATTCATCGACTCGACTTATTGACTTAACAACGACCAATTAATTCTATTACGAAAATCGGTCGTGTGGGGCGCGATATGGAACAATAATAATAATAATTACAGTGATATGGGTATTTATGTTGTTAACAATCAATTAACCGACGACTGTGAATAAGATAATATTCGTATACAGAGCGCGTCGGACGTGTCTAATATTATTATTCAGTGTTTTTAAGTGGCGGGAGTGATACGATCTCTATTATGAGCTTTGTACCATGCCACCTTTCGTCTCAGTGACTCTCACCCGGTGACACTACGTATGGATGATAATATTGTGTTTTAATAACATATTATAATATGTTATGGGTCGACCACTATTATTTCTTACATTCGGTATAGGCTACAGTGGTCGCCGTATACGGTTATTAATTTTAATCTCCTGTGTTATTATATACTATAATATAATCGTACAACATTATAATTTGTGAGCGTCCGAGCTGTAATGTCACATGCTAAATTATATGGACAAGATTACAATATTATTTCAAAAACGAAATCACTAGAAATGCTCAATATTGTCACAGCTGAGGTGTGGAAAAGATTATTGGCACGATATAATACATTGTGTTAAAAATTTAAAATATATCATAAAAATCAGTATACGACGTGCGCATATATGTGTATATACTCGTACTTATTGTACATAGAGATGAAGTGATGTAGAGATGTACTACGAGATTAATCTAATTTTAAAATTATCCCGCGTGAAATGTTTAGACACAATGGGTAGAGGTAGCATATTTCCGATCTGAATCGTATTCCGGGTAATGTGTCGTTGCACACGCGTATCGCGAGACATACGAGTGTAGATGGAAAAATACAGATAAATGACGTGGACACCTGTTGCGCTCATTGTCGAAGGATTATTATTATTTCGTTTCCAAATCCCGTGGACCACGACGTGACGAAAGAAATATAGATTTCACGTTGTCGGACGGTGTTACGTTAATGTTATAATACATATTATTATACTATACTGTCGTTATAAGACGTGTACAATACTCGTCTAAAAAATAAGAAGAGACTTAAGGACGGGGACGACACACGCGTGTGTGATAATAATATAATAACAGTGGAGTGTTTACGTCTCTGACGTTTGTCAGTCAGACGTCGGATAAACGGACAACGGCGCAAACGGTCGTGATTACCAGGAAAAGAAAAAAACGAAATTCGTCTCTACTGTTGTTCGTAGCACATGTGTTTTATAGTATTGTTTTCGGATTTCGACGACGAAACGACTGTAAGTACCGGTAAGTACTTATACGCAGAAAAAATTAGTGTCGAGGAACTCGTGGATACAAAATACAACATAATATTATAACAAAATGCAACGGCGGAAATATAAGAAAACTGTTGTACAATTGCGCTATCGAATATCGCTCGTTACGCGTTGTGATAATATATTATCATAATTATTTTATGATACAACAATGTTCACTGCAATTATTTATTATAATAGTATAATAATATATTATGATATGTTGTAGGTATACACGCTCTCACGGTGACGCGTTATTTCCATGCAAGTGTCGTTATTATTAAACAAATAGATACAAAATAATAATAATTTAATTAATATAATATATTATTATACTCTGTTAATATAAATATTGTCATGCGCCGTATGATACCGTCATACCGATAAAAATAAAAGATCTTATAATAGTATTTATACGACTCCGCGTAATATGATATCGGATATAATAATGTATGATCGGGTATATTATAATCTCGGCCCTTATACACGACTTTGCAGCATCATCACGAGGACGAAGTCGACGACCCAATTGCTACCATAATAATATAAGATTATAGATTCTTAACATTATGGTAACATGCACCGTGCAGGGAAGTATTTAGGACTAAGCCTCCGAGGTACATCTGGGTTGGGGAGTTGGGGGGTGCAGTACTTTTATCATGTCATCGATAAAAAATCACAAAAAAACTATTTTATTTTAAATCAAACAAAGGCCTGAAAATATCGTTTTTAAGTAAGTGTATAAATTATAATGTTATGTCCTCACCAAATGTAGAGACACAAAAGAGGCCCGACAAAAACGCAGCATACCGGAACACCTCAACGACGTACTGGGCCCCGACGAAGAATCCATTAAAAATATAATGGTATTTATGAAAGACATTGAATTGTACAATTTAATTTAAATTATTTAAGAACATAATATTATCATTATGTAAAAAAAAAACAAGCCAATGGTGTAGCTATCGAGTCTTTTTTCTTAATAGAAAAAAAAATTATAATGTTGTTGTTTTAAATAAATAGAAAAACCAAATAATTTATTAATATATTATACTATTATTATTATAATTTTTTAACATGCATATGGTTTCGGGCTAGGTACAAATTTTTTTTTGTAACCGATTTTCGCAAGGCCGATTTTCATAACTCTTTGTTTATTCATTGTATTGCCATAGAAACGCAAATCAACAGTTAAAATACATAAAAAAAAATCATGTAGAATGCAACTAGATATTTTCCCATTGTACCTACTATTATAGGTACCCAAAAACATATCTATGATTCCTAAATTTTCCTTGCAAAGGAAAATGTCTAGTGGCATGCTACTTATAATATGTGTATACCTAGTTCTTCTGATCATCACTGTTTAATAATTAAATGTCGGTCTGTATTTTAGTGACTTCCACCTCCTATACCAAAGCTTTATAGGGCCATCAAGTTTTACGCTACCCCCACTGAATTGATAACATGTCTTAATATTGATAGTATAATATGTAAATATATACACGATAGACCGATTTTTTCAGATTTCAAAACGACTCGTACGCGCATCACTCGTATCTGCAGTACTACCCGCCGCAGTACCACCGCAGCCTCCTACGCCGGGTGTATAGTCTCCTTTCATCGAACGCACACCGTCCGATTCGGAATTAATTTAATTTGTAACATAGTATTAACCATTCCGCAGTATAACATTCATATTATTATAGGCATCGTACGAAATATTAATAATGATAAGTCGGCCGGCGACGGAGATCGCCGTCGGAAACGGACACGTGCAGAGTATCATGTGTGTGTGTGTGTGTGACGTGTGTGCGTCCGTGTCGTCGAATGCGGACTGCCGCTTATTATTATTATTATTATTATTATTATTATTATTCCGTCGGATTAGCTCAATCCGGCCGACTCACGGACGTAACGGCTATGGCCTATAAAATATATAATATAATAATAATAATTGGTAGGTTTATACCGCGTCTGCAGCAGCCCTTGGTCCCGCCACTGGTCGTCATCATTACTGCGGTCGCCACTGCCGCGGCAGCCGCCCCCGACTTATATTATAATGTACAATATGCGATTGTATTTTGTGCGCGTGTAAGGTCCCGCTCGCGCCCGCGATTGTTATAATATTATTATTATTATTATTATTATATTATGCGTAATACACATCGTTGTCATTTGCACGGTCCGCCGACGCCACCAGTAGATATCACGTTTTCGCCACGTCTGTCGTCGTTATTTTATTACTATTATTGTTATTACATACGTGTGCGATATATTGTGAGACTTGGACATCACGTACAATGAACCTTTTCACCGGTTACTCACACGCGTATTATATATATATACAATATGTGTATATATGCATTAAACATAATACCTATATACCGTCGTGTATAATGTTATCGTCGTACATATAGCGCGGTACACGTTTTATGCGATTTACCGCTGGTATTAACCAGAAATACCTACCCGGAAATCACACATACGTATAATATATTTATATTTATTATTATAGTTACCTACTTACCGACGTGATTGGCAGCAGTGGCTACACGCAGTGGCGAAAATAGGATTAGCTCTCGTGGTCCGATGCCAGCTGTCGCGTTTGTGCAGACGTACAGTGAGATCACCTTGTCAATATAACGTCCGTAAAAAACCTATCGACCTAACCCGAAATATCGTGTACGTTATAAATACGACAGTGAATCGTTTTATTTTCGAGCGTGTTGCATTTGTTATAGTATGCGAAGCCGATGTCGGCGTGCGTTTTGTTTGTGCAGGATTTAATTTCACGAAGCACCTTTTTGGAGTAGTTAAAAAGCTCAAAAAGTTCATCTCATCTAAACCAAACCATAATGTTGTATTATATTGTACTCAAACGGATAATTTTAATCTTTCCTTATGGCTTTATAACCTTTGTAGTGTAAATTTTTTGGCAAAACTGCAAAATAACAGAATTTATATCTACAGAAAGTGGTTTTAATCAAATCTTGAACACTTTTGTGTACACCATTTTAAAACGTTTTTGAATGTGATTATTTTTTTTGCGCAGCATTGTATACTAATGAGTAATGACTAATAATGGTGAAATGAATAAAAAAAATATAAAAAGTGTTTTTTCTTACCTATCCAAAGAGAAAAAATTCTTTAAAACTAATAGAAAAACTTAGGAATAATTTATAAAAAAAAAAACTATTTTATATTTGTATGTATGTCTGAAGAGTACACAAACCACAGAAACGACGCACAACTCGATATCTGATTTATATACAACAATATTTCTGTTATAGGCTGTAGCCGGAGTAGGTAATGGGTATACCTTATCTATTTAAATAAGTACAATATTATCTTTTTTTTTTATTTACTTCTTTCTTAATCCACAGGAACTTAGAGATTTGTTTATAATGCCAAAATAATTTATTTTTATTTAAATTAAACGATTGACTATGTACTTTGAACTATGAAGTGTATTATTTGCTAAACAAAGTCTATATTATGCTTGATATATGTATTACTTAGCCTAAAGCAAATATTAAATTTGACTTTATTTATTTAGCTTTCAAATATTTCGTTCCAATATAGACATATAATGCGTGTATAGAACTATTAAAATGTCTGTAAAAAAAATTGTAGCTACTACATCAATAAAGTCATGTTTTAATAGTAACATTAATCAAAATATAATCAGTTAATTATCATAAATGTTTCTTTTCATTGGAA